GAGGGGTTAAAACTTTGTTTATGAAATGATTTTTGAAAAGCTTTGTTTTTGCCCACTCATGTTTTTTGTTTTGCGCCCTTCCAGGTTCTAGTTTGGCTAGCACTTTTGGTGGTTCCCCAGAGGATTTCCCAGCTTATCTGACTGATTACCACCAGTGTAGGACCACCTTTGGGTGTGTTTATTTAGTGTTGTTTCTCTCGGACTGCACTAGGTCTTCCGTGCTCTGAACTTTGTTTTCCAGACTTACACTTGCACATTTATGTTATTACCTTGTGTATAGCTAGGTTTGTATTTATTCGTACTCTTATTATTATTTATTAGCTTCCGCACTGTGCACATGGTTACGTCACTTCTACGTGGCGGCTAGCATGCCCTGATCTCGATCGGGGTGTGTTAACAATCCTTCATGGGAAATACCCTTATTTTTGTATGCTACAGTTGACAAATTTTAGTGTAAACAACGAAAACCAATAGGTCATTTGTGTGCTATATTGTGGTATGCTTTTATTCCTATCAAATTTTTGGTGTCATATCATCGAGAACTGTTATTTCTAATTACGTGGTTATTTTTGTTTTCTTTTTCTTGTCTAATTAGCACTTTTGTTTTTATTGTACACGTAGTAGTATATGCATACTCGACGGTCCAAGAGTATTGACTTTGCTACCTACGATCCTGAGATTGAACTGCAAGTGTAGCAAGCTTCAAAGAACAATCAAGCTGAAACAGGCATCGATGTCCTTACCACGATCTTCTCCACCACGTTTGAGTTCAAAAGATGAGGGATAATAACAACAAGACATTATAGTTATCAGTACCCTTTGAGAGAGTTGGCAATGCCAAATATGATCAATAACTGTTGTGCATCACATATCCAAATGCAGAAGGAGATGTGAGCTCAAGTTTCGCATGATTCGCTACTTGCCTAAGTTCCATGGCTTTTCAACAAAGGATACCAACAAGCATTTCATGGAGTTTCATGTGGTATGCTCAAGAATGAGACCATCATATGTAAAAGATGAGCAAGTCAAGTTGTGAGCATTCTTTTTACATTTGAAGACAGGGCTAAGAAGTGGCTTTACTATCTACCTCTTGGATCAATGAACACATGGAACCAGGTGAAGGAAGCATTTCTTGAACTATACTTCACAGTCACAAGGCTGCAAACATAAGGAAAGATAAATTGCAATCCAGTAGCAACATGGAGGGTCCTTTAGATTACTATGAGAGGTTCACCCACTTAGTTACTTTCTATCGTCATCATCAAATTTTAGAGCATTTTCTTATATAATACTTCTATGAAGAATTATGTGGCACATATCGTGTAATGCTTAATGCAGCAAGTGGAGGATTATTCATGGACAAGACAATAATCTTGTGCAATAGGTTATGGTGGCTCCAAAACAAGTGTGGTGTATGTTCAATGATAGGACATGTGACATACATGTTCCCTTCATTGATGGATCAAGATGGTTTTGAGCAAGCTAATGCAGTAGAAGGATTCCAAGGGCAACAAAGGAAAAACCTATGATCCATTCTCCAACACCTATAATGCGAGGTGGTGTGATCATCCACCCTTTAAGGAGAATAATCAAGACACTATGAACAATTTGCCCCAACATCTAAAACCGTCCACCTGGATTCTTTCAAGAAAGACTAAAAGAACATCAACATTTAGACCGTGTTTTAGAAGTTTCTGGAATCGTGATGATGAATCCTGTGAACGAGTTTGTAGCTGAATAACCTTTAGTGTCAGGAACGTGCTTGATAACGATTTGTGAATTATTTTAGTAAAGGGAGAGAGAAGGTGTGGCATCAGAGAGAAAAGAGAGAGTTGGATAATTTTATGATGTTTCTCATCACTTGTGCCTTTATTTATAATAAAGTTAGCAGACTTATTTGCCTTGCAAGCAATACAAACTTAAAGGAATAAGATCTTTTAGATTACCTGGGAATTCTAAATACAATCTACTAATGATTTACAAAATCATACATATGTTGTAATAATATTATAATATTATAATAAGGGTATTATGTTATTATCAATAAATACAAAATAAATAGAAAAAAAAATGAGAAGTGTCATTGTATCTGTAGCGGGGTCATAGTTATAGCAGGAATATAATATAGGAGAGAAACATAGGGAGAAAGAGACATTGGAAGCATCAGAGGCAGCAAGAAGGACAAGGCATAGCTGATAACCCTATGCATTTTATACCTACATGATAAACTATTATATATATATATATATATATATCATAAATCTGAATTCCACAAAGTCATAAAACATCACGTCCCCTTTCTTCAATTGGTGGGGATTTTGGCACCATTTGTGCTGCGTGCATGGTTATTGTGGTCCAGAGGTGTTGGAGTTGGGTGGAAGTTAGGCAAATGATCTGGTGGGAATGGGAAGGCTCTTATTGTTTTGTCTTGTGACATCTCACTTTGACACCCACCAAAAAGTGCCACCACATTGCTTTTAAGTTTTTACCCCCAATGATAAAGTTTGAAAACTAATATTTTTGTTACAAGTAATACCTTACACCAATCAAAATTAAAAGGGAAGAGAAAATATTTGAACCTGAGAGGCGCAGTAAGTTGAAGTGAAAACCCTAAGCTCCAGGGCAATATACCGCTTGGTCGAAAAGTAGTTAATTTGGACATTTTTCCTTAACTTTATATATATAAACTTTTACCACTTGAGAGAGATTCTTATGATTTGAGTAAGGTTAAATTACTACTCGAAGGGATTTCGAGTGATTTCTCTATATCCAATTTCTGTATATGTACCTGTTTATTTGTGTTCTTTAAATTGAATAAATAGAATGAGAATTTAAGAACATAAGTTAATAGAGATATATGAAAGAAAAAAAGTGCAGAAATGATTTACTTGTGATGAATATTGGGAAGGAGGACACACTTCTACTTGGATGTGGATAACATTGATGAATCGTTAAATCTTTTAGTACAAACTTTGATTGATATGTCTCTTGTTTAATAGTTGCCATTTTTTGGGGTATGCTTGGTGTCAATTCAACTAATTCTTAAGTAACTACCTACACCTACCTTTATCATTGTTAGGTTTTGTGTTAATTGACCTAATTTTAAAGATTATGACATCTCTCTCAATGACTTGATAGGCCATGTCGAAAAAAATGAGATGTCAAATTTTAAACATAAAATTTAAATTTGAAGGCTTATGTGTGGCATGTTGGTCTTTTGATAAATTTTGTTTTCCATCCAAAATGTCAAATTTAAACTATTATTTATTATATTATTTACTTTCCAGAAGTGTAGTATTTTTAAAACAAAAGATAATGATAAAAAGCATTTATTATTGACTAAATATAGATTTGAAACTACTGTTAAATTTGTAGCAACTCTTTCTGTTGTTATTCTATGTCATATCTCATAGAAATTGATATTTCGGTTGAAAAACCACAAATATCATCTTCTTTTTTTTACAATTATTTTTTCTTAAATATTGATGAGGACATTTTGACCATTTCCTTTGATTTCATATAGGATTTTATAAAGATTGAAGACTCTGGTCCTTGAGCTATCTATCTACAGATTAATTCCTCTCAAATCTTTCAATCTGCTAACTGACAGCTGCCCCCACCCAACCACTTGTTCCTACAATTTGGTTCTCTTACCGGTGGATGTTTCTCTGTTTCCGCATGCCATACTGTTCATTGCCTTACCATTGTTGGGCTCCTTATGTATAAACAATAATTTCTTTTTTACTTTCGACTCACAATTAGGAATGAGTATCATCTTTAGATTCTCTTTGTGATTCTTTAATTGTGTTCATTCATTGTACATCGTGTAATCAGAAATTATTTTAAAATTTTTATGTAAAATTGAATACAACTAGTACCTGACGAAAATTAACTGCATAATTTATGATGAACGAATATGATTAGAGGATCTGCTATATCCTCACAAAGAGGATCCAAAGAAGATCCTTACAAAAAAGATCCAGAGAGGATCCTCATTCCACAATTAGACACACGTTAAAAGCTATTTAAAACTTTAAAAATTGTTAGGAGTCATTTAATAATTATTTGCATTTTAAGTTTTTAGCTTTTGTCTTCAATTTTTTTTAATTGAAATTTTATTTACTAACTACTCTTATATTAAAAAACATTAGCATATGCCCCACACTTTGTGTATGAAAATAAGTTTTACTTTTATTTTAAAATGGAAAGGAGAAGGGGAGAAAAAAGGAATGTGGATTAGAGAGAGAAGTTTTCTTTTTGTATTTTATTTTTCAAAATTAGAGGATGTTAGGATCGCCCTTGGATAAGGCTTTGAAAAAAAAAAAAAAAAAAACTGTAAAATTTTGCTTGTGTGTGAATTTACTTTACTATCTATGATTTTGTTTTGTGGTAGAAGACAAAATTATCTTTTCATCCTCTTTTGGTTGACAAATAAGATTTTATTAATGTAGTTTAGATGAAAACTGAAGAAAAAAAATACTTGTTTTATTTCAAACTTTAGCTCACAGTTTAAGTTTTCAAATTTTATTTGTGAAAAAACTAAAATAATTATCAGACAAGTAAAAACTGAATAGATTACAAATATATTTTTTTTTAAATGAGAAGGAAAGAGGGAGAGAGAAAAAACATGGGAGTGGAGATGGGGGAGGTTTTTTGTTCTTTATTTTTTATTTTTAAATATTACATTTATGCTAAAATTACATGTAGATGATGCTTCAATAAAAAACAACAAAATTTAGTTTTGTAAAATTACATTGTTGCTTATTATTTTTTTGTAATAAAAGACTAAATAAGATTTTCACTCTCTTTTAATTAATAAAGAGAATTTTATTAATAAGTTGTTTACATTAAACCGCCATTTGTTCTCTGCTCCCTAATTTGTAGTACATGCAATAAAGGCTGGTCGGTTGGAGTGTAAAGGAACTTGTCTTGAAAAGGAGGCCCACTTCCGTTGGCCAACCTAGCTAATAACTACATACTCAAGATGTCAACTGTCATTGGTTCATCTTTCTTTGCCAAGTAAAATAAAAAACAACCCCCTTCTCTTCTCTTCTCTTCTCCTCTCCTCTCTCATACATTATATATTTGCATCGATTCAAGGCTAGGAAGAATTACTTCAACATTTTGATGCCAAACTCCAATCAATCACTTCAAACTTTGAAGTTTCACTCGCTCACTCCATCCCTTCCCATCCCATTCAATCCAATCCAATGCTTTGCCTCCTTATCTCTTGTGCCTCTTTCATCCTCCTTTTTAAGTCCTTCATTCACCACAAACCAATATTACAAACATGGGAGGATAGCCTCAGATTAATCTCACTCAAGTTTTTGGGTGGATTTTTAAGTTTTCTCCGCAAAAGCAGGATTTCATTCCAACCCATCGCCTCCAAATTTAAAAAGATGGTGACTTTTGGCTCAAATGTGGAGGTGGAGAGAGTGGAGAGAGAGGAGAGAGAAACCAGTCTCTCTCTCCTGGATTTGCCTTACTTGGCCTTGGACTGCATTCTTGAGAGGCTTCCCCCATCTGGGTTGTGCTCCATGGCAGCAGTTTGTGCTTCTTTGAGGGAGAGCTGCACAAGTGATCACTTGTGGGGGAACCATATGAACCACAAATGGGGTCGACTTATAGGGCCTGCTGCTTACAGAGAGTGGCAGTTGCATGTGGCCTCAAGAAACAGAATCAGAGATTACTCTGTTCGGACCGAGAAAAAAGGTCTAATAGAGTCCCTTGTGGCTAGTATTTTGCCTTCCTCGTGGATTACTAGGCAAAAATTAACTTCTGTATGTAAAGTGAAGGCTAGTACGAGTTGTTTACCGGTCGATTCGATCATGTCTCTGTATCTCTCTCTTGAAACTGGCAAGTTTTGGTTCCCGGCTCAGGTCTATAACCGCGAGGTATTGCCGCAAACTTGATATTATCAGTAGTATCTATCTCTGGTAATATGTAGTTGCACAATTTTTTTTGTTTGTTTGTTATTTTCTTGCTTGACAATTCACGAACACCTTACACATATGTGTGTGCGTGCGTGTGTCTTTTCCTGCAGAACGGTAATGTAGGGTTTATGCTTTCTTGTTATGATGCACAAGTGCGCTATGATTCGACGACAAACACATTTCAAGCAAGGTGAAGTAGCGGTCTGCTTTATATGTGTTTTGACTAGAGAAGTACATATATTAATGATTAAAGTTCTTAACATGTGTTCAATCTAAATGCTATTTCAAAATTTTAACTTGCAATTCTATTCGTATAAGTTTCAATCGTCTATTGGACTAAAGTTCGATTCTGGAAAGGCTTATTTCTGAATGGTTCTCCCTTGAATTCAAAATTTACAGTTGCAGGTATTCACCTTACGGGCGGAGGGCAACAGAGGAAAATATACCATGGGATAGACTAAGAGCGGCTCCAGTTGATACTCCTCCTCACAAACTTCATGTCTCCGATTGTTTACGTGACTTAAAACCCGATGATCATATTGAGATCCAGTGGAGAAGAAACAAAGAATTTCCTTATGGTGTGTTTCTAAATCCCGCATTAAAATGTCTCTCAATTATCCTTTAATTTTGGAATTTAGCAATAATTTGGATTCTTATGTGCTTTAGGTTGGTGGTATGGTGTCATTGGTCACTTAGAGTTTTGCGATGGGAATGAGAATCGCTGCCGTTGTCACTGCAATGGTGAGAAAACATTTCGGTTTCTGCAATTCTGCTGAGTTTTCTTTGTTTTGTTTTCATTAGTTGGAGAAACATACTTCTTTCTCCTTTTTTTGTTTGGGAATTGTTATTAGCACTCCAAAAATCTCATTTGGCACTTCAAACTTTCTATAATTAGAAAGAAAAATACACTTGTGAGGAGTGTAGAATGAGATTTTTGGAGTGCTAATAACAGTTGCCCTTTGTTTTTTTTTTCGGTTACAAAATACAGACTTCCTTCCTATGTCAATCAATAAACATCACGCATGAGATGCCATATTAAACTCTCCATATAGAAATCTATGGAGTTTATGATATCTCTTTCCCCGAATAGTTTGGCATTCAAGCACTTTTAGCATGGGAATCCATGCCCTGCCTTAACTTGGACACTTCAATAGGGTTCCCTTTTACTCCAAACGAAGGCAAACGAATATGTGAACCATATAGCTTTTCCATACAGAATCACTTGTTAGTCTCGTCCATTGACTTGAGATATGATGCACATACGTTTCTTATTGGTTCTATTTTTGTTTCCCTTTTTCTGGAAGTACGATGGCATGTTCATGCCTATGAATTAGTGAACTTAGACGGCAGAAAACTCAAAATCTAGACATAAAGATGACTTGACTCAGAAACTTCCTACTCTGTTTCTTACATTTGAGGAATATGTGCCAGCTACGGTTGTTTGTCATGACCAAATCTGACGTCTTATCTATGTTCTTAGCGGACAGCCCTTTTCCCATTCCTTGCATTTTAATCATTGTTTTATAAACGAAAGAACTGTTACTTGACTAACAAGGAAAAGGGAAACCTATGTGCTAGTCTTGCTGAATTCATTTTTCTCATATCAACACAGCACCAAGTGCTTGATATTTGTTACATATGTAAACTATCTGTTTCATGCATTCTGTTGTTTCTTCTAATCACTATTGACCCTTAGGCTATCTGAAGGAAGCCGTTTGCTCAAAACCAAGTGCAATGGCATTCTAGGATTCATATAGCCGATCCCACTTAGTGGGATAATGCTTTATTGTTGTTGTTTGTTTGCAGGATTCTAGCTAGGACTATTTTCTTGACTACCACTACTGTATATAAGTATCTGACAAACAAGTACTCTTTTATTACAGATATAGTAAAACTGGAGTTCAATCAGTACGCTCCTGGTTCCCGATGGAGAGAAATGACGATAAACAGGAAGGACCATCGCGAAGAAGGCAATGAAGCAGACGGCTTCTATGCAGGAATCCGAAAGATTTACAACGAGGAGGAAATTGCAAGGTGGAAGCGCTTATGGCCGACCCAGGTTCTGGGATAAACCTTCCACTCTCAATCCTAACCACACTATAAATATTAGGCCTGGCAAACGGGTCGTGTCTATCGTGTTCGTGTCGTTTTCGTGTAACACCTGTTATCTTAACGGGTCGTGTCGTGTCACACCCGTTATCTTAACGGGTCCTTAACAGGTCGTGTCACTTTACCCAACGGGTAAAGTGACCCGACCCGTTATGACCCATTATGACCCGTTAAGAAAAAAATATATTTTTTTTAAATTGGCACATACCACACATTGCCACATAAATATTACTTCAAAACATTAAAACATTTCTCGTTCAAGTACTATATCTACACTCGAAAATAAAAGCCTAATAAAAAAAATAATACATACACTACTAATATATTACAAATATTAAATGTGCAAGGATAAATAGTTTTTGTTTTTAAGATTGTAAGTCTTTCTCAAAAGTTTACACCTCCATTTACAAAATCTTCAATTTACATCGATCATCATGAAATTGTATTCAATTTACACCTACATCTATATAATTATTATAGTTTTTACTTTTTAGGGATATAAAATTATTAAATTAATGTATATAATTATTAATATTATAGTTGATTCATACTTTTATTAAGTATATAAATTATAACATAATATTTTGTGATATCCACATCCACTAGTGTAAATATTTTAAATTGAAGATCAAATTCATTCTTTGTATTCATATAGGGTCACGGAGTGTAGCTGTAAAAATTCATCAAAATCAGAGTTAAAATAACCGTTAAATCTTGATTTTTCGTTTATAACCGTCGAAAAGCTTTGTCCCGTTACTTGATCTCTGAATGTTTTTTTTTTTTGTGATTTTTTGCTGATGTGATCTCCAAGCATATACAAACAATTTTAACGATTTGGATCGTTGAAATTAGTTTTGGAGAATTCGTAAAACGATAGATTGACTAACACTTAGAGTTTATTTATACTTTCATTAAGTATAACATAAGATTTTGTGGTATCCACTTGTGTAAATATTTTCAATTGAAGATCGAATTCATTCATTGTATTCATATAGGGTCAAGGAGTGTAATTATAAAAAATCATCAAAATCGGAGTTAAAATAACCGTTAAAACGTGATTTTTCGTTTATAACCGTCGAAAAGCTTTGTCCCGTTACTTGATCTCTGAATGTTTTTTTTTTTTTTTGTGATTTTTTGCTGATGTGATCTCCAAGCATATACAAACAATTTTGACGGTTTGGATCGTTGAAATTAGTTTTGGAGAATTCGTAAAATGATAGATTGACTAACACTTAGAGTTTATTTATACTTTCATTAAGTATAACATAAGATTTTGTGGTATCCACTTGTGTAAATATTTTAAATTGAAGATCGAATTCATTCATTGTATTCATATAGGGTCAAGGAGTGTAGTTATAAAAAATCATCAAAATCGGAGTTAAAATAACCGTTAAATCGTGATTTTTCGTTTATAACCGTTGAAAAGCTTTGTCCCGTTACTTGATCTTTGAAAGGTTTTTTTTTTTTTTTGTGATTTTTTGCTGATGTGATCTCCAAGCATATACAAACAATTTTGACGGTTTGGATCGTTGAAATTAGTTTTGGAGAATTCGTAAAACGATAGATTGACTAACACTTAGAGTTTATTTATACTTTCATTAAATATAGATAAGATTTTGTGGTATCCACTTGTGTAAATATTTTAAATTGAAGATCGAATTCATTCATTGTATTCATATAGGGTCAAGGAGTGTAGTTATAAAAAATCATCAAAATCGGAGTTAAAATAACTGTTAAATCGTGATTTTTCGTTTATAACCGTTGAAAAGCTTTGTCCCGTTACTTGATCTCTGAATGTTTTTTTTTTTTTTGTGATTTTTTTGCTGATGTGATCTCCAAGCATATACAAACAATTTTGACGGTTTGGATCGTTGAAATTAGTTTTGGAGAATTCGTAAAACGATAGATTGACTAACACTTAGAGTTTATTTAACTTTCATTAAGTATAACATAAGATTTTGTGGTATCCACTTGTGTAAATATTTGAAATTGAAGATCGAATTCATTCATTGTATTCATATAGGGTCAAGGAGTGTAGTTATAAAAAATCATCAAAATCGGTGTTAAAATAACCGTTAAAACGTGATTTTTCGTTTATAACCGTTGAAAAGCTTTGTCCCGTTACTTGATCTCTGAATGTTTTTTTTTTTTTTTGTGATTTTTTGCTGATGTGATCTCCAAGCATATACAAACAATTTTGACGGTTTGGATCGTTGAAATTAGTTTTGGAGAATTCGAAAAACGATAGATTGACTAACACTTAGAGTTTATTTATACTTTCATTAAGTATAACATAAGATTTTGTGGTATCTACTTGTGTAAATATTTTAAATTGAAGATCGAATTCATTCATTGTATTCATAAAGGGTCAAGGAGTGTAGTTATAAAAAATCATCAAATTCGGAGTTAAAATAACCGTTAAATCGTGATTTTTCGTTTATAACCGTTGAAAAGCTTTGTCCCGTTACTTGATCTCCGAATGTTTTTTTTTTTTTTTGTGATTTTTTGCTGATGTGATCTCCAAGCATATACAAACAATTTTGACGGTTTGGATCGTTGAAATTAGTTTTGGAGAATTCGTAAAACGATAGATTGACTAACACTTAGAGTTTATTTATACTTTCATTAAGTATAACATAAGATTTTGTGGTATCCACTTGTGTAAATATTTTAAATTGAAGATCGAATTCATTCATTGTATTCATATAGGGTCAAGGAGTGTAGTTATAAAAAATCATCAAAATCGGAGTTAAAATAACCGTTAAATCGTGATTTTTCGTTTATAACCGTTGAAAAGCTTTGTCCCGTTACTTGATCTCTGAATGTTTTTTTTTTGTGATTTTTTGCTGATGTGATCTCCAAGCATATACAAACAATTTTGACGGTTTGGATCGTTGAAATTAGTTTTGGAGAATTCGTAAAACGATAGATTGACTAACACTTAGAGTTTATTTATACATTTATTAAGTATAACATAAGATTTTTTGGTATCCACTTGTGTAAATATTTTAAATTGAAGATCGAATTCATTCATTGTATTCATATAGGGTCAAGGAGTGTAGTTATAAAAAATCATCAAATTCGGAGTTAAAATAACCGTTAAATCGTGATTTTTCGTTTATAACCGTTGAAAAGTTTTGTCCCGTTACTTGATCTCTGAATGTTTTTTTTTTTTTTGTGATTTTTTGCTGATGTGATCTCCAAGCATATACAAACAATTATGACGGTTTGGATCATTGAAATTAGTTTTGGAGAATTCGTAAAACGATGGATTGACTAACACTTAGAGTTTATTTATACTTTCATTAAGTATAACATAAGATTTTGTGGTATCTACTTGTGTAAATATTTTAAATTGAAGATCGAATTCATTCATTGTATTCATATAGGGTCAAGGAGTGTAGTTATAAAAAATCATCAAAATCGGAGTTAAAATAACCGTTAAATCGTGATTTTTCGTTTATAACCGTTGAAAAGCTTTGTCCCGTTACTTGATCTCTGAATGTTTTTTTTTTTTTATGTGATTTTTTGCTGATGTGATCTCCAAGCATATACAAACAATTTTGACGGTTTGGATCGTTGAAATTAGTTTTGGAGAATTCGTAAAACGATAGATTGACTAACACTTAGAGTTTATTTATACTTTCATTAAGTATAACATAAGATTTTGTGGTATCCACTTGTGTAAATATTTTAAATTGAAGATTGAATTCATTCATTGTATTCATATAGGGTCAAGGAGTGTAGTTATAAAAAATCATCAAAATCGGAGTTAAAATAACCGTTAAATCGTGATTTTTCGTTTATAACCGTTGAAAAGCTTTGTCCCGTTATTTGATCTCTGAATGTTTTTTTTTTGTGATTTTTTGCTGATGTGATTTCCAAGCATATACAAACAATTTTGACGGTTTGGATCGTTGAAATTAGTTTTGGAGAATTCGTAAAACGATAGATTGACTAACACTTAGAGTTTATTTATACTTTCATTAAGTATAACATAAGATTTTGTGGTATCCACTTGTGTAAATATTTTAAATTGAAGATCGAATTCATTCATTGTATTCATATAGGGTCAAGGAGTGTAGTTATAAAAAATCATCAAATTCGGAGTTAAAATAACCGTTAAATCGTGATTTTTCGTTTATAACCGTTGAAAAGCTTTGTGCCGTTACTTGATCTCTGAATGTTTTTTTTTTGTGATTTTTTGCTGATGTGATCTCCAAGCATATACAAACAATTTTGACGGTTTGGATCGTTGAAATTAGTTTTGGAGAATTCGTATGCCATCAATCAAGTTCCGTGTGTGTGTGTGTATATATATTTATTAAGTAGATTTAAATCTATTTATTTTGTATGTATAAATTATAATTGACTGGTACACGGAATAGTACATACATCACGTGTCACGTGTGTCATTATAAAAATAGTGAGATATGTCATGACAGTCATGTGTGTGATAAAAAGTTAATAACTTAAAAAAAAAAAAAAATTTCTCACCACATCTATTAATTTTCATTTTTCCCTCTCTTTTTTGTTTCCTTTTCAACTTTTTCTTATCATTTTCACTTTTCCCTCCAACATCTTTCCCTAATTCCCTCACTTTTTTGTTTCATTTTCAACTTTTCTTAACATTTTCATTTTCCTTCCATTTGTTTTTTCAAAAAGGGCGGCAAGTTGGCAACGGCAAGAAATTGATTATTGAAATTTGAATGGAAAGAAATCACATCAAATTTCAATGGATGCAAAATCATGCAATGCATCATGCATATTAAATTATTAATTAATAATTATTATAGTTTTTATAAAATTTAATATATATATATATATAATTATTATAGATAGACTTAATATTTTGGGGGTATAATTATTATAGTATATATAATTATTATAATTATTATAAATTTTATAGTTAATATAATATATATATATTTATTATAATTTTTAGGGGTATAAAATTGTAAAATTAATGTATATAATTATTATAGTATTTTTTTAGGGTTATAAAATTATAAAAATAATATTTTGCTTATCGTGTATCGTGTTACCCACGTGTATACCCGAACCAACCCGTTATCTTAACAGGTGCTTATCGGGTTACCCGATAACGACCCGATTCGTTATCGTGTCGACCCAAACACCTGTTAATTTCGTGTCGTGTCGTGTCGGGTGATCGGGTCGTGTTAGAAATTGCCAGGCCTAGTAAATATCAAGCCCCCCTTCCCCCATTCTTTTTTGCTGTTGACCCGTGCCTAATATGATCCGGGATTATCCGGATGCATATATACGTACATCAGTATTCTCAAAGCACAAGGTCCAGTTTACTCATTGGTGAGAGGGACATGATATAGGCCTGTTTGAGCCACGAATGAATTATAAATGGTTGCGATCGCGACCTGTGATTTTAACAAAGATGATCCAAGCTTTTTCAATAAAGTTAGTAAGATTGCATGATTGGTCCGAGATACCAAGCCAAGCCCAAGACTTTAAATTAAAATATCTAATCCAAGGTCCATTACCAATCCAAAGAGATCAAGGTCTGTGGTCCACAAACGAAGAGTAGAAAAAAGCTCACAAGTGAAAACGTAAGGATAGAGAAGATCGAGGCAATCAAGGTCCATGTCCACCAAAGATTTTTGGTCCACGGCCTTTTGAGAGAAGTGCATGGAAGATCATCACATCCAGAAATTCCGAATAGGCAAGAATCAAAGACAATCAACTCAAAAATGCATGAACATTCCAAATAAGCTTATGTTGCAGATATCGTATTACAAGATTAAGGGGGCCGCGAAAAGAAAGTTTGCAAATTGGGAAAGCTTACAAGCCAAATAATGGCTGATCCAGGGCCAATGTTGCCCTATAAATGTGAAATTTAAAGAAAATAAGAGCACATCTCAATTGAAACGTAAAAGCACAATTCATATTCTTGTTATTCTTGAACGTTTGTGATTCTACAAACTGTGTTTAGTTTATGGAATCACAAACATTCAAACATATATATCACAATAATTTAGATGTAAGAAATTAAGAAGGAAATGGGTTTTGTACCCTCTATTTTACAGGTTTGCTTTGAGATATTTGGAGTTTCTTCGGCAAATGGATTTTTTGCATTTGTTTTTCTTTGAGAAATTCTAGTTACGAAGTCGGGAATTGAAGTTCAAATGGGAGCTGAAGTTGAATTTTTAGGCCTTATGAAATGGGATTTTGTGTTTATGAAAATAGGACGATTGGTGATTGTATTAATGGATAGGTGCTCTGTATTAATGGAGGTTACCGAGATTGGATTGGTAGAATCGTGAATATTTTGAAGTTGGGGTTAACGGGGTTCGGTTAGGTTCCCTTAGGAGCAGGTTTGAAAAAAATATTTATTGTGCATTGGGCTTTTAATTCAGCCTGTGACCTTTTATGTTTGTAAGGCATGTTATATGAATAATTTTGTCCTTATAATTAAATTTAGGGAGCTTTAATGAAAAGGGTTTGGGTCAACAAATATTTAATCAAAAATCATCCAAAACTATTGTCCACGGGTCAAACTTACAAGCCCAACCCGTTACAAATCTACACTTCCATAAATATCCCTAAATGATTCAATATTGTCCTGATTTTTCACCAACCTCAACCCAGCACGATTCCCCCATTTCAAAAACAACTAAAACAAAGTTGAAAAAAGAAGCATTCATCGGAACAAAGCCATCGAAATAAGTTCAAAGAAATATAATGGCAGAAACCGACGAAAAAGTGTTAGAAAAAAAAAGAACCAAAACAAAAAATTGAACCCAAAACATAACACTGTTTCTTAAAAAAAAAAAAAAAAAAAAAAAAAAAAAAATCAGATATAGTGTTTGTTTTGTCTGTACACAAACAAACATTGTATCTAGAAAGAAAACAATCAAATTTCAGAAACAGTAACTTAGATTCCATAAACGGTCTATGTTTTAACCTTTGATTGTTTCTTTTCTTTCATGCATCGGTTGATTATATTTAAGAAACAGGATGCTTATTTTGCTTTGAATCCAAATACATTGAATTTCATTATTTATTTTCTAGTTTACATTTAAGAAACAGTGTGTTTATTTCATTTTGATCCCTGAAATAGTGACTTAGATTCTAGAAACAGTAACTTAGATTCCAGAAACAGTTTATTTCTATAGTTCAGAAACAGTAACACTTCGTTATTATTGAATAGCATGCAGATCTCAAATTTATTTTCTAGAAAAACAAACGATGAACTCTACTGACGAAGAAAACTTGAAAAACAATACCTCAAATACACTATGAATAATAATGACAATCACATTTCGACGAAATAATACAAAATATAAATTAAATAGCATGAGGATCTATATTTTTGTTTCAAAGAAAAAGAAGAAGGTCTGCAAAACAATGATGAATTCTATTAACGATGAAAATCTGGAACTCAATCTAAAAAAGTTAGGGGTAAAATCGACAAATCATAATTTATTATAGTTGAGCCATTTTTAGTTGGACTACTTTAATATGGGCTTTGTAGTAATCATTAAACAAAAACTTATAACATGGTTTTTTATTAAAACAAAAATTTTTCAAGTCATTTTCATTAGTTTCCCTTTAAATTGAAGCCCTTGTGGTTAAATAATACTTTAAGGCGCTTTTTTGTTAAAATAAAGTTTGTCCACACCTTTTTGGTCTAAAAAAAAAAAAAAACAGAGAAGAATTTAATTTTAAAAAAATAAGGGAAAACATACACCCACTTAGGAAAAAGGGAGGAAGAACAGGCATTCCTTTTCTTTTCTTTTTGGCTTAATTTTATCTAGGTTCCTTGGATCTTGATTTAATTTCAATTTGCTCTCTGTAACTTAAAAGTCACCACTTTACTTTCTGAAAATCAATGTTTGCTCCACTTTGTGCCTTAGAACTCAATTTGAATCTCATTTTGCCCCTAAAACTTGAAAGTTGTATCTATAAAATTCAAAAATTCCTCCACATTACCTTAGATTTGTTAATTTTTTATGTGGATTTGATTTGGGTGCGACATGATAATCAATTTTTTTTTCATGTCTTGACTTTCTTTTAAACTTAATATCCTCTGATTGTTGCATGGTTAATGCATTGTAGAGATTTATAATATGTTAGAGTCCTATTTGATTAGGAATGTGATTGTGTAAATCCTAGTGTATCTAGGGATATCTTGGAATATTCTCTAGGGTTAGATATTATCCTTTAGAGTTGTAATCCTATTAGGGTAAGAATTTAACCTTCTCTACTACTATAAATAAAGGCACAATGGGGTGATACAAAATACACCTCACAATTACACATCTCTCTCTTTCTTTCTACTATTGCCTCACCGCCCCTCTCTCTCTCTATGTCCTTTTTATAGTTCAGTAAATTAGGCCCACAACACGTTATCAGCACATTCTTGACGATGCGCTAAATTTTTTTTTTTCTTCAATCAAGGAAGTATTACGTTTTAATCATTCTTTTTATGATTAATTTATTCTTTTATTGAATTGATCTACATGCTATTGATTCAATTTAATTTTTCTTTGTTGAACATGGTACAACGCATTAGAGATGCAATTCCGACTTTCTGAGAAGGATCTTTTACAAATTCAAAGGCTTAGTTGTTTTCTGTTAATCAGGTTCTTTTAAAATAAATTAAGATATTTGAAACAACCATGAAGCATGAAAACATTCCCCATAATGTATGAACCCCCTACATTTATCTTTTCCTTCTGATACACACACACACACACGTTTCATGCATTATGCAATTATGCTATGTGAAATTTGTGAGTCAAAGCATTAAAATTAATTTAGAAGAAAGTAGGGTTCTTAACCTTAGACTTCGGAAAAAAAAAAAAAAAAAAAAAATCTGGGATTTTTTCGTGGCTGAGCCATGGCTCCACGCAGTGCAGAGCTGGCTGGCCTGCAGCCGTGCCGCAGCTAGGACAACGTCATTTCGACGCCCTGCATAGCACCATGCCTCGACCTGAAGCCTTGAGTTCGCCAACAGGACTCAAAGCTTTGTTGGGCTCTGCCTTGTCCCGGCCCACCTCGCTTATAGCAAGCTTTGCTTTCTGAGCTTGTCATCTATCTCGGCCCACGATCACCAAAGCCAGCCCACGTGGCTGGGCTCACCTAAAACTGGCCCAAAACCAGTAGCTTGGTTGCTGGACTTCTTCCCAGAACTAGCCCATGGTTTACAGCCACACATGGGCTGCCTTGGCAGCCTACCCGGAAGCCTACTAAGCCCTCTAGGGCCTTGCCTTGCACATGGTAGCCAGCCCACTGAGTTGGGTTACGATTTTTTTGAACTTAATGTCCCCTTTTTGGCATTCCCACTTCATAACCATACTACTATAATTTTTGGGACGTTATTCGTTAATGTTTATAAAGCTATAATTTTATTATCGCTTAGCCCGAAGCAAAAAATTCAAGCTAATATTAACCCGAATGTCATTATTTTGCTTCTATGATCAAACCTAGATGGTTACAATCTATTAAATTAATTAAAGTGATCAGCAGTCTATTAATCTGACAATTAATCCAAAATTATTGGCTTGAAGTCTACTTTTTGGCAATTAATGATTCAATAAATTATTTATTTTCTTTGAAGCGTTAACTCACTTTCGTAGTCCTGAAGCACTCGCACTTGAGTTCCTGAAGCAACCTAAATCCACTACACTTAGTTGTCTATTGTATTCTGTGTTCTTGCAAGAACCTCTCTTTTATTAACTAAACATTCATAAACTAAATTGAACCTGTAGTTTCAAATTTAGTGCATTTGAAACCTGAAGTTTTCATAAAACAATACACCCATGAAAACTCGACGTTTTTCATGTAAACCATGTCTTAGAACCCCGAATGTTCTAACTTTGATACTTATGGATATCTTATTTCCATAGCACCAATCACAATTTTGTTCCATCCATTCAATTAACTATCAAACTATAACAAGTTCGATTTCACTGATTTGGACATTTCTTGACAGAAACTACTTTATGTGTGTACAAGACGTGAATCTCCACTTGACTATCAAGAAGCTGAGAACCAATTGAAGCCAACAATGGCATGGAATTGCTGAATAAGCCTCTACCATGATCTTCATTCAAAGGCTTATGCCCGAAGTATTACAAATGGAAATACCTCCAAAACGAGGATTCCATGGCTCTTTAGCTCACTTCTATAACCCATTTAATCATGAATGATATTACCTGAAGCACACCATGATTACGTCCATGAATGAGTACGATTCTGAAGTTTATACATTCGATTGAATTTTGATTAGAATACTTTTCTCGTCCTTCCTTGTTTCTAACTCGCTCTCGAAGCAGCAGTGTAGAGAGAGGAAGTTTACCAAATTCTTGGATATGATTACTACCACATTTGTGAGAGAAAGGTACCCCAACAATTCGGTTGGGAGGTTTTGAACCATATAGACCCAGTTTTCGCTAGAGTTTACTAAATGGTGGTGCCTTGCTTCTATAGGGATGCACCGAAGGGCTTCAGTAAAGGTGCACCGAGCGGTATTGCTCTGCTTCGGCAGAGGCCTACCGAACAGACCCCTCCAGCTTCGGCTGGAGCCGAACAAACCTAAGTTTGGGTCTGTCTCTCTCACAATCCAATTTCGAGTTTGTTTTAACACAACATACGGTAGAATCAGGGTATGCCAAGGTGTGGATATTGTTCCCAAACCTTAACCCTGCAGAATCTGTCTTGAAGAAATAAATCATTGGTTAAGCACCTGTTCGTGCCCCTACCAATGTCATTGAGGAGTACCATTCTCGTAGTCAATATGTGAGATTAATTTTGTTCCACCAAACATTGTTGGAAGAGCAGAATTTGGACATGGATAACCTTGTTGGCCGAATCCCCTTAGTAAACCATTTACTTTGTGAACATTTTTTTTATGTTCTTGGATTCATATTTAGTGTTTGTTTTAGTCATGAATAATCTTATCGATATTGTCCTCGAATATGAATTAATTTAATCATGTTTCTTGAATACGTATGACCAAATTCAATTAAACACGTGATTAGGTACGACTGCGGGAAAGTTAGTTGTCTAGATGAATGCGATACTACGTACAATAACTTTATACTTAAATCATATCTTTGGCAACGACTTCAAGTCTATTGATGAGTATATTTTATATTATATATTTAACCCTATTCTTAGTATATTTTGGTTAATAATTTGGAAGAATTTTGATACTTTGAATTATATTTCCAATATAGGACTTTCCACTTCCTCTGGAGCAAAACATGGTCAAATGGACGAATTTTGGAGTAATTCCAATTGGAGGACGTTCATGAGTCACGTAGCTTGATCATGTCAAAATATTAGATTTTTCTACCAAGCGATTATTTTCTGGTAATAAAATAAAGCAGCAATGTGCAGTGCTGGAATAGTAACGTTTCGGGCTTGAATTGCGTTTTTAGAGCCCAAGATGACCTCGGATGGGTTTGTGGCCTTTTGGAGATGTGTTCAGAACGTTTTGATCCTTAAAACAAGCTATTATATAGGCTTGATTTGGAGGAGATTTGAAGCTAAAACGTGGCTAGACAAGTACTTGGCAGATTCTCCTAGTTTAATTAAGGTTTTATATTCTAAGATATTTTATTATTATTTAGTTTTCTAGTTGGAATAAGAGACCTATGTTTTAGAGTTTGTGAAGGGCTCAAAAAATAGAGGGCTTGGCCGTTCTTAATCTTTGATAGTTTTTCTTTTATGGTACCTGGGGAGACAGAGAACTTGGCTAGGATTCTTGGAGATTTTCTACTTTAAGGTGTTTTCATTCCTTGTATTCTTAATAAAATTTTCTATGATTTCAATTATGAATATGCATAACTAATTCCGTTTTGCTAGGGTGGAACCGTAAGCCTTAGCATGAATATGTGATTTTTATTTAATTGCTTATGATTGATTGCATGCATACTTTGAATTATTGATCATCGTGATTAAAACTATCTAATTGTCTTAATGCCTAATCACCATTAGGTTCCTTAGAAAAGCAATTTGATACAATTTTGGTCGGAAGGTTCCCTGAAATTGAGGCCGGCTTCTTGTGATTAATAATTGTAATTTCACTTAAGATGAACACCACATCTTAAGGGTTGCATGGTTTTTTAAAGGGTTTTCATAAAACATAATGAGTCTCTCATGTTCAGATTTGATCCGAACGTCCAGACGGGTTGCATGTTAGATATACGTTATATGTTGGAGGTTCCAAGTAGAATATAAATTAGGAAAACCTAACTTTCAATGTGACATCCCACATCGCCCAGGGGAGTGATCCTTAAATGTATATTCCTATCCCTACCTAGCACGAGGCCTTTTGGGAGCTCACTGGCTTCGGGTTCCGTAGGAACTCCGAAGTTAAGCGAGTAGCGCGCGAGAGCACTCCCAGGATGGGTGACCCATTGGGAAGTTCTCATGTGAGTTTCCAAAAACAAAACCGTGAGGGTGTGCTGGGAGCCCAAAGCGGACAATATCGTGCTACAGTGGTGGATCGGGCCCGGGTTGTGGTGGGGGCCCGGGCCGGGATGTGACAATTTGGTATCAGAGCCTAACCCTGGTTGTGGTGTGCCGACGAGGACGTCGGGCCCCTAAGGGGGGTGGATTGTGACATCCCACATCGCCCAGGGGAGTGATCCTTAAATGTATATTCCTATCCCTACCTAGCACGAGGCCTTTTGGGAGCTCACTGGCTTCGGGTTCCGTAGGAACTCCGAAGTTAAGCGAGTAGCACGTGAGAGCACTCCCAGGATGGGTGACCCATTGGGAAGTTCTCATGTGAGTTCCCAAAAACAAAACCGTGAGGGTGTGCTGGGAGCCCAAAGCGGACAATATCGTGCTACGGTGGTGGATCGGGCCCGGGTTGTGGTGGGGGCCCGGGCCGGGATGTGACATTCAAAGTGGCATTTGTAGATTATAAGTAATTGGTAAAAATACATAGGATTGCTAGGTGATGGTGGAACCCTAGTGCTTTCTTAATTTGATTTTTCCAAAAATGTTTTCTTTCCCTTTCATCTTTAATATTACAGATTAGTTTATTTTTATTAATTAAATTCGTTTTAATTTATGTAGTTTATAAAACCAATCATCTCAACTTTCTGCTTTACAATAATTAATTGGAATTTGTTTTGTTTTGAATTATTTAATAATCCATGTGGAGAACGACCTTACGAGAACCGTTTATACTACAACAACCTTGTCATTCTTGCAAGTAATATAGGAGTTTTTAACCCGTTTGCGTGTGTGGTAAAATCTCTATCAAGAAATTGGCGCCGCTGCATTGGATTATTTAAAATAATTCGTTCTAATCAGATTTACAGTTAGTTATTGCTGTCTATCCACATAAAAAAAAAATTACTTTTCGTTTTTATTTTATTTTTATAGATTACTTCGTTACAACAGTGCATATTACAACAATCTGTGCATGGTCAGCACTAGATTAGCAGCACAAAAATTAATTCCATTTGATCCGGAACCTGAGCAAATTTTAAGGAGACGCAGGGAGCCAGTGGATTCCTTCTTTGCTGGGGACTTTTTTGCAGTCTTTATTTTTTGAGGATCTGCATAGTAAGGAAACAATGGCATTTGTTATTACAGAGGGTGGTCAACCTTTAGGGGATCCATTAACAGCTCATGCCACTAACATACCAAGTTGCATTACTTATCCGGGGGTGGAGGAAGGGTTTGCATTCGAAATAAAGCAACATATGTTGAATATTCTACCTACATTTCATCGGTTCTCAACTGAGGATCCTAACATGCACATTGCAGAATTTTTAATGGGATGCAAGAATATTTTGGTAAGAGGATTTTCAACCGAATCCATTAAGCTCCGTTTATTTCCGTACACTCTGAAAGATCAAGCAAGGAGATGGCTCCTCACACTTCCATCTGGAAGCATTAGCACTTGGAACCAACTCAATGAAAAATTCTTAAGCAAGTATTATCTAGCTTCAAAGACTCCTGACATGAGAACTCAGATTCTATCTTTTGCCCAAAAACCAAATGAAGAGTTTCATGAGGCGTGGGAACGGTTCAAAGAGTTGATTAGAAAATGTCCGCATTATGGTATTAACAGTATTGATCAAATGCATATATTTTTCAGAGGACTAAATATGACTACAAAAACTCTTGTCAATGCTTCATGCGGAGGTTCGCACAAGGATAAAAATGCACAAGAGGCTTGTTTATTATTTGAGAAAATGGCAGTAGACACACGGTAATGGGCAATTGAGCAGCCACAATCTAGGTCAGTTTTTGAGATGTCTAATGGTTCTCCACATGTATCAGTACAAATTGAAAACATGGAGAAAAAGCTTGAAAGATTTGCTGCAAAATTTGACATGTTATTACAAAGAATTCCAGGTTCACAGGCTACTGTACAGCAGCCCTTACAAGTTGCTTGCAGTATTTGCAGTATGACAACCCTTATTTTTTGAGCTGTCCACATAAAGCTGCTTATCCGGAGTTTGCAGCGGAACAGGTTGATGCATTTAACAATTTTCGGCGTCTCCGAAATGACCTATATTCAAATTTCTACAACCCGGGTTGGAGAGATCATCCTAATTTGAAGTGGGATAGAGATCAGCATGCAAAGCCACAATTTCAACAACAGGTATAACAACCTGTTGCACCTAAGGCTACTTGGGAGATTGCAATTGAAAAATTAGCAAACACTACCATTGACCCTAAAAATTACAAACCCTACGCGGCACGCAGGGCGAATAACTGATAAGCTAACTAAGTCCTTCAGTTGAATGTGAGGCGTGCCAACTCGCTAACCGAGTTTGGCCGAGGAGTAAAATTTGTTGATGTTACGTTAAGCGAGTTGCTGACTTCTCTATCTTGCGACTGCGACCGAGGAAGGAACACTCTCGGTCCTTAGGTTCTAGAGCCTTAAGACAAGGCTGCTAGTTCTGTGAAGTTCACAAATCGTTGGCGCTGGATTCGGTCACAGTGATCATATTTGTGAGAGTGTAAGCACGTCGAATCGACACTAGACTTTACATATATAAGTATTCAAAGGTGATGTATGTCTTGATGGTAAATATGGTTCGGCCGTCAGAATGTCGAACTCTGAAACTCACTTGTGAGTATCCAATCATATAATCACTCGGCGTTCAATATGCCGAATATCGTAACTCGTAACACCTTACTTCGCCGCAAAAGCTAATAAGATGACCTCTACCAATAAGGATTCGAAAACCCTTCTCGATCGAGACTTGGATAGGTAATCAATCGGCCTCGATGCAATGCTATTTATCCAAACTGAAGGTGCTCCTCGGTCGGCTAATTCTACGACAACAGTGATGTTTATTCGAACTGAAGGTGTTCGCCGATTGCCTCCACAGTGCTGTTTATCCAAACTGAAGATGAGTCGGCGGGAAAAAGAAAAAAAGATCTCAAGATGTTTGAGAGGTTTTGCGTAGAGCAATTGTGTGTTGAATTGGCGGTCCTTCAATTATTGCATGATTTCTTGTATTTATAGCACCAACTCCTTGAGATCGAATTAAACTCCTACCCGGATTAGGAGTTCTTGTTTCGTTCCGACTTTGCTTCGAACAACCCTACTCCCACTAGGACCTTTGAACTCACCCCCCTTTTGGGGCTTTATTCATTGTCGGTCGAAAATCCTTCCTCGACCCTCTTTGCTCATCTGAACTACTCCTTTTTGAGATAGGACTTGACTATTCCTGCTAAATGGCCTAAAATCATTAGGCAGCCCATGGTATTTTTGACATGGCTTTGGGCCGAGCCGGACCGTACACTCGGCCTAACAATATTATTTTGGGCCCAAACAACTACCAGTCAAGAAATCCAAAATCTACATGCATCAATGAAAAGTATGGAAAAACAAATTGAGCAGATTGCATTGCAAGTTTCAAAAAGAGCATCGGGTACTTTTCCCAGAAAAACAGTACCTAATCCAAGAGGACGAGAAGAATGCAACGCTATATGGACTTTACGGTCTGGCAAAAGTTATGACAACAGACATGAAAACTGCCCTGAAAATTCGCAGGCAGCACCACAACCACAAATAGATTTGAGAAATTTTGCAAAATCTAATATTTTTGTAGATTCTGTAGTTTCTGCAAATTCTGGGCAGCCACAAGACAGATCCGAAAATACTGCAGAAGCTACCACAAAAACTGCAAAACGTGTTTATGTGCCTCCAATGCCTTATCCTGGAAGGTTGAGGCCTAAAGCTAAAGATCAACAGTTGACAGATTTTATGAAGACTTTGGCTAAAGTTCAGATTAATCTACCATTAATTTATGCAATCAAGAACATTCCATCTTATACCAAGTTTTTGAAAGATGTTTGCACAAAGAAAAAGAAGCTTCTGGATTTCGAAAAAGTGATTCTAACGGAATATTGCAGTGCGGTCTTATTGCATAAATTGCCTCCAAAGAAGAAAGATCTAGGGAGTTTTACTATCTCTTGCACCATTGGAAATTGTGATTTTAGCAGTGCTTTAATTGACTTAGGTGCTAGTGTAAACTTAATGCCCTATTCTGTTTTTAAACGTTTAGGTGAAGGAGAGCTGAAGACAACCTCCAGCATTATTCAATTGGTTGGCCATTCAATTACCTATCCTAGAGGAGTCATTGAAGATGTTATTGTTAAGGTTGACAATCTATATTTACCAGTTGATTTTATGGTGTTGGACATGGATGAGGATTTGACAGCACCCATCATTTTGGGCCACCCATTCCTGGCAACAGCCCGGACTCTTATTGATGTTGAAGCCGGAACTCTAACATTTCGGGTTGAAGATGAAACGGTTGTTTTTAGGTTGTTTGAAGCTACCACACTTCCAGGTGATAAGCAAGAATGCATGCGTGTTGATGCATTAGATGGTTTGCCTCGTGCCAAATTTGTGACAAGATCATTAACTAACAATCTGCCCATAAAGACTCAAAATGTGATTCGTGAGTGTGATAGTAAAGCACATCAACACAAAGTTCAGTTGCTTGAAGTGCAAAAATCAAAAACAGATTCGAGCAACTAGATGGACCAAAAACACCAAAATGTCAAGATCAAGAATAAAAAGTTGCAAGGTAGTCCAAGTTATAAAAAAATACAGCTTGGAAAAAAAGTATGGTTGTTAAGTTCAGATTTCAAGTCAATTCCAGGGAGACAAGAGTCTCGGTGGAAGGGCCTTTATATGGTTATGCAGGTTTTTCATAACGGTAACGTGGACATTGAAAAAGAGGGCAGGGGTTGTGTGCTCAAGGTCAAGAAGTATTTACTAAAGCCATGCATAGGGAAATTTGGTGCAAGCAAGTCTTTGACTCTGAAGGAACCAGTGATCTGACCACCAGGCTTTTGCGACATCTAGCTATAGACTTAAAATAAAGCGCTTATTGGCTGACGACCCAATTTTTCTAAACTCATTCCTTATTTTACTTTTTGTTTGATTTTTTTTTATTAGTTAAATTTCTAGATGCATTTACATACCTAAGTTTTATTAAAAAAAACGAAAAAAAAACATTCAGAAAACAGATTTGTTTTTAAATTAAAAAAAATCAAAAAATACGTTGCTTTCTTTATTTACCTAGTTAATTTCATTTTTTTTTAACGCATATTGGCTAATTGCAGGTTGCAGCGCATGGAAAATAAAGAGCATCCTATACTGGAATCATGCAACCAGTAGCAAATCTACATTAACATCACCGTATCTACACTATGCTGGAAGATTAAGCAATCAACATGAGTTCATTCGAATTTTACCTCCCAGATGCACAGATCTGGGTCCTGAGACCTTCGCTGTTTTTGTCCGTTGAGCTTGTGTTTGATCCAGGGCTTACTTATTTTCCGGAAGCAAATGTGTTTTAGTCCGCAGTTGTTACCAGAGCAAAAGTAGAAGAACAAGATCTTTACCTTCCTGATTTGTAGAGGCCGAGACATTTGCTGTATATTTTGCCTTCTGGGACCACTGGACGGGTAGCTTATGGGTTGTTTTCTCTGGGTTCTACGCTGGTTTTGAGTTTTATTTTTCAGTCATAGTAGTGGTTTTTTTAATTAAAATACCAGATCATAGGCAATCAGTCAAGAGGGTTATGGTTTCTACCTCAACAATTTGCAGATCTGTGAGTTTGGGGACTATTCGAGTCAGACTCTTCAGTCTTTTTGTGAATCTCGGGTACCTAATACAGAAGAACATCAGTGTAAGATTTTACAGAGACTCATTATGAAACATAGCTCTCAGAGATTTTTCACAAGCTGAGCAACATGTATATTGAACCAAGTGGGAGATGATTACCGTTGCATGTGCGAAATGGTCTCGATCTACATGAATGGAACTCGAATTCGTGATGGTTTGAACTTAGGTGACACACGGTTTGGTTGAGAAGAGCTGGCGACTCAGGGTGTTTTTCTTGTGTTGTTTGTCTCGGATTTGCAACAATTGGGAGTCCTCACACAGATGAAAACACATGCATGTGTTAGTTTACCACATAAATCTAAAAAGAAGAAGAGAAAAAAAAAATACAGACACACATGGAGGAGGGATTTACTTTCATGCATCTCAGTTTTCATGCTTACTCCACCATGGATGGGTTAGAGAGACACGGAAGTGTGTATGCTCCTTGGTTTTTGGTTGCAGAATGAGTGAAGAAACTGCTGCAAATAGGAGGTTTGTACGAATGGGCACTGGACTTGAGAGGAAATGAAGAAAAGAAAGCCTTTCCAGATTTTCTAGAGAGAGGGCTGAGAGGAATAGGTTTGAAATGAGAGTAATGAGAGATGTCTCTCATTTTTCTAGAGAGAACAAAGGGCTTCGGGGTTTACGACAAATAATATTATTATTCTTTTGCAATGGGGATGGGAATGGACAAGAGAGAGCCATTTGGCTCTGGGCTCGAGGCTAGTGGAAGGGGATCCAATGCGTATTCAAGAATAGCTAGGGTTTTTTTCAAATGACAGATGCAGCTGCTACACTAGCTTATATTGTAGCTGTTGCTAGGTTTTCACACACGTGTGGACTTATACGTGTTGGTCAGCGTGTCTTTGCAAGTTCCCAACTACCAGGTTCTGCTTTCGAATCCCCGAAGTGTCCAATAGTGTTTTAGTTCTCCACATTTTTTGTCACCACACCTTGGCAAATTCACAGTTTCCCCCTTCGAATCTCTGGTGTGTTAGTTTCTTTTTCCTTTTCTTTTCTTTCCTGTTTTCTGTTTTATTTTCTTTTCTTTTCTTGTTTCTCTTTCCTATTTTGTTTGCTTAGGGTATTTTCTTTATCTTTGATATTTGTTTTACATTTTCTATGATTTAGTAGTTTTGTTTCTTTTCTTGTTTCTTCTATTTATTTTCCACACCTTGAGGACAAAGTGCGAAATAAGTTTGGGGGTGGGAAATAACATTTTAGGTTTTTAATTTTTGTGTCAAGTTAAAATTTTCATTCTTTTTAAGTTAATATCCATAGATTATTTTAAACGTTATAACAAATGGACATGGTGAAGGTTAATCCCGCATTAGAGTCTTTTCTATTTATCGTTGCTTAGACATTAATTCATGAATTATACTTTGACAACTTGCACATTCACATCAACATGGTTTGTGGGGAGTGAGATTGAAACACTTGCTTTTAGTCTAAGTTTCATTTTTAATTTTTGTTCTAAATAAAGTAAAGTTAGTTTGTGTTATAAAGTAATAATTGTCTCACCCGAGACTTTGCCTAGTAACTGGGCCAGTCCTGCGTAATCAGCAGTGATTCTCGCGTCAAGCAGTAGAGTTTTGGCATGGGGCAGAGTTGTTAGTTGGTTTCGTAGCCTTTTCAACTTGGGTTAATAAGTCCTTAAGGGTGTTCTACACCTAGTGCCCTAAAGCCCTAGTGGTTTGGGAGTCATTGACCTAAAGCTCGCTATATGGGTTGGATCGAAAGCTTAAGTGAATCGATATTGCACGACCACTACTGTTATTGGAAAAAGAAAAAAAAAAGAGAAAAAGAAAAATAGTTATATTTAAAGTTAGTATGTGTGAAATAAAGAAGGACGAAAGGTAAGGGTTTTAGTCGAGTCTCTTTAGCTATGTTGATTCACTTTACACCAAAGGAAGTTCGGAAATTCTTTTCTAATTGATTCTAAATGGCTTAGACTCTGTGGTGGGATTGGTTGGAACTTTTGAAAAGATGTTCTGATTTTTAACATGTTCTATGGATTGCAACTTTGAACGTGAAAATCTTTGTTAGTTAGTTTTAGTTAAGTTCTAGTTTGTTAGTGTTTATTGTTGTTTTCTAGTTTTGTTTTGCTTGAGGACAAGCAAAAAGCTAAGTTTGGGGGTATTCTGATGGGCATATTTTATATTATATATTTAACCCTATTCTTAGTATATTTTGGTTAATAATTTGGAAGAATTTTGATACTTTGAATTATATTTCCAATATAGGACTTTCGACTTCCTCTGGAGCAAAACATGGTCAAATGGACGAATTTTGGAGTAATTCCAATTGGAGAACGTTCGTGAGTCACTTAGCTTGAAATATCAGATTTTTTTACCAAGCGATTATTTTCTGGCAATAAAATAAAGGAGCAATATGCAGTGCCGGTATAGTGACGTTTTGGGCTTGAATTGCGTTTTTGGAACCCAAGATGACCTCAGATGGGTTTGTGGCCTTCTGGAGATGTGTTCAGAACGTCCTGATCCTTAGAAGCTATTATGGGCCAGATTTGGAGGAGATTTGTAGCTAAAACGTGGGTGGACAACTACTTGGCAGATTCTCCTAGTTTAATTAGGGTTTTATTTTCTAAGATATTTTATTATTATTTAGTTTCCTAGTTGGAATAAGAGACCTATTGACACACCCCGACCGAGATCAGGGCATGCTGGTCGTCACGTGGAAGTGACGTAACCATGTGCACAGTGCAGAAGCTAATAAAATAATAATAAAAGTACGGATAAATAAAAACCAGCTTTACACAAAGTAATAACATACATGTGCAAGCGTAAGTGTGAAAACAAAGTTCAGAACACGAAGACCTAATGCAGTTCGGGAGAAACAACACTACATAAACACACGCGAATGTGGTTCTACACTGGTGATGATTTGTCAGATATGCCGGGGAAATCCTCCGGGGAGCCACCAGAAGTGCTAGCCAACTAAAACCTGGAGGGGCGCAAAACAAAAAGTGTGAGTGGGCAAAAACAAAGCTTTTCAAAAACCATTTCATAAACAAAGTTCTAACCCCTCGTCGTAAAACTTGTATACTTCCCAGAAAATAGAATATACATATATATAAGTCATGCTCGGAAATGTACCATGCCAAATGCCTCAAATAAATGCAAGTGCTCAGGAAAATGTCAAACTCAATGCCATGAATCTGTTCAGCCGGAGTCGCCTAACGTGACCTGTACGGCTGAATCTAGAGCTCAATCTCCATCTCACTAACTATACCTGCACACAAGTCGAAACCACCTAGGGTGGTCTATACGACAGGACTGGGTGTATAAATAGTACGCTCAGGTGCTACGATCACGTGAAGGCTGGGCGACTAGTCGCGGGTCACCTATGAGTTGGAACCACCTAAAGTGTTCTGTACGGCAGGACTGTGCACCTAACTTGGATCCAAGATGAGCATGTGGTGCCGGAGGTGAACATCATGTGAAGGACTGTGCCCAACTCTAGGCGGGAGCACTAACATTAGGGGTGCAGGTTATGAGCTATCTATGCATCTCAAACCACTATTGAATATAAGCATAAACTATACTCACCTGGCACTTACCTGTGCGCCCACAGCACCAACATACATACATATATATAAGCTACTAACAATGCATAAACAAATGGCAACATAATGCATGGCATAAAAACGTACAAACGTTTCAATTCATTTTCTGGGAAAAATATAAGTATATAGGTATATACAGAAAACCAAAAGCCCACTCACTAGTATGTAGAAGGGTCGTAACCCCCTTGCCTCGAGTGACCACGCTCATCCTCAGGATAGGTCTCACCTATATGCGAAACAACTATAAAAACGTTAATTTTAAAGCACATAACCAACCTTATGAAATAACTTCTCATACAATGCTCAAATGGGGTGTATGAATACACCAACGTGATCTACTCAACCTTAGGAACATCACCATATTTTCAGAAAAATTTTCCACCGCTACACGCGCCCCCACGCACCGGCCAAGGCATGGCCACACGTGTCTAGCACACTGACGGCGTCAGTTAACGCCGTCAGGAATATTCTGTTAAAATTGACGGATTCTGTTAACGCCTTTAAGAATATTCCGTCCAAACTGACGGAATATTCTGTCATCTTCTCCGGCGAAGCTCCAGCGCCGGTGCTGGAAAATCAGGAAAACTTT